GCTGCGCAAGTCGGATGATGATTGGAAGTGGCTGCGCACCTTTATACTGGAGCACATTCTGGCCTATGGCGAGGAGCAGCACAATTTTTGCCTCAAGGAGCGCTCACGCGAGGCGCTGCAAACAAAGAATTTGCTCTCCAAGTTTCTGTATCACAGCCTGAAACAGACGGGCAATACGGATTATGATACCAATGCGCCCACGCTGCTGACCAGCAGACGCGCTAGCTTGCCAATCATTGGACCCGTGCTGCCGGAACCGAAGATCGAGGAGAATGTGCCCGATCCCAAGTCCAGTCATGCCTTCAATCGAAATGTCGTATGGACCTTTGAGGATATACGCATGCTAATTGGCACTGATATGCCCATCTTTGGCGGGCCGAACAGGCCCTGTATTAGCCTGCGGCTACGCGACGCAGCGCAGCCCATCAATGTTCTAACTGGCATTGATTATTGGCTGGACAATCTGATGTGCAATGTGCCCGAGGTGGTCATGTGCTACCATTTGGATGGCATTGTGCAGAAATATGAGATCATCAAGACTGAGGACCTGCCTTATCTGGAGAACTCGCAATTCTCGCCGCAGGTGGTGCGCAACGTGGCGCAGAATATTTTGGCTTTTCTCAAGGCGAACGCCACCAAGGCGGGTCACACCTATTGGCTGTTCAAGGGCCGCAATGATGACGTGGTCAAACTCTACGATCTCACTACGCTCTGTCAGAATCAAAACAAAACGACCGAGTCAGAGCGTCCGCAAACACAACAGCAGCAGCAGGAAATGAATCCGTTTACGGTGCCGGTGGGCATGTTGCTGTACTCCGTGGCACGCAACATGAAGAACACACTGGAACCCATTACGCCCAAGACGGCAGGCAATATACGCGCCCTGCTGGACAACTGCATCAAGCTGCTGCCCAAAGAGCAGTATCCACAAATTGTCAGCTCCTCGCACTATATACTCTCAGATTTGCATGTGCCCGCAGGCATAGATCCAAAGGCGCCCAAATTCAATGACTCCCCTTCGCTGTTCAATGCTGACGACGACGAGGATGAGGATGATGAGGATGAGGATGCAGAGGATTACGATGACGAGCCACCGCTCGACTTTGGTCACGACAAGTACTATCAGAGCGCAGCGCAAAGCGGTGGCAAAGCGAACGTTGCGGTCCGGCATATTTGTGACGCTTTGCGGGACTTCAAATCGCACGCCAAGCAATCAAAGCCGGCGCCCTTAATAGCCAGCACCGTGGATCGCTGCAAGATTTCACTGCAGCACATCAGCGCGGGCATCTCATGTTTGCAATACTTCAATGACAATCAGGAGGAGAAGTTGAAGGAGTCGGAAATGCACGCCAAGCAAGAGGAGAAGCAGCGCATTCTGCACGAAGAGCAGAATCCCAACATGGCCAAGCCCTTCAATGCTATACCACTGCCCTACGAGCAGCTTCAGCTTGTTCAGCCGCCAGCCCAGGCGCAGTCCAAGAAGCGCTCCATTAAAACGAAAAGCAAACGCAGCAAGTCCAAGGAACTGGCCACCACCAACAGCAGCCACAAGCCAGCAGCTGTCAGCTGCAATCAGAAGCTTAGCGCCAAATTTAATAGTCAACATTTTGGCTCATGGAATGTGCATCTTAAGCTGCTGCTGCTAGAGAAGGCTTGTCTGACATATGCCACGCTGGCAGAGCATTATTACGAAGCCCAGATCTATGGCAGCACGCTGCGTGCCATTGAGCTGGCCTGTCGCTGCCAGCAAGTGCTCAACAAGTATATGGCCAATGTTGTCTCCCAGCAGAGCTGTCTGCTAGGACGCGCCGGCGACTGTTTCTTTCAAATCTCAAAGCACTGGAGCGCTATTGAGGAGTATGTGCAGCAATATGAGCAGCTGGATGAGCCCACGTGTCAGATTAGCGATGAGCTGGCACAGGAATTGGAAGAATCAGAGCTGCTCACGCTGGCGCCAGTCAAGAATGTCGAAAAGGTCATGTTACACAGCTGCAAATGCTACGAAGATGCCCTGGAGCATGCTCAGAGCGCGGAGAGCAATGAGCTGTTGCGTCGCTTAGGCAATGTACGCAACGAATTGGGTCTCAAGTACATGTACTCGGCACAGGGTAAGTTTTTTATTTAGCCTTCTGCTCTTTGACTGATGCACCAACTAATACACATGCCTTGCAGAGGAGTACAGCCAAATGAAACGCAAAAAGGAGGCGGGCTCTGAGGATCATTCGAAATCTGAATTGGATGCAAAAACCGAGACTGTTGCGGCTGCGGCGGAGCCATTGTATGTCAAACTGACGGTCAATTCGTATGACTGTCTGCGTCGTGGCATTGAGGCCTTCACAGCGGTGCAGGATAATGTGAATCTGGCGTTTCTCTACTGCAACATGGGCAGATTTATGCGTCTGCGTGCACATTTGACCATGCCCAATGAAAGGTGAGTGTGTAAAGAATTTATTAATTGCCCACTTTCACTCTAATTATCCTGTTCCAATTTCTAGCACCATTGCCTTGGATACACAGAAAACCTTTTATAATGAGGCCTTCAATTACTATGAGAAAGCCAAGGACTGCCTGGACACAAGGAAAGCCAATGCAGAGCTCTGGGATCTGGTGCAGTGGGAGCTATCGACGGCCACCTTCACATTGGCCAAGCAGCTGCAGGACTACAGTGCAGCCGACAAGAGCAGCCTGGCCGAGGCATCCAAGGAGGTGCTAGAATTGCTGCAAAAATCATTGCGCCTATGCGATGTGGAGCATGCAGGCGCACGTCAAGTGCTCTACAGCTTTCGCTCGGGTCTGATACACAAGCGGTAATCTATTCAACTTGGCATGCAACTAGATTTTATAATTGATAAGCATCCTGTTTATTGCAGCATTGCCTCCTTTCACTATGCCCAACTGCGTGGCCATGGCGTTTGCGATGTGTCCCAGCTGCCCAAGTCGACGCTGCAGCTGTGTAAATACCACTACGAGAAGGCCACACAAATCTTGGAGAGCTTGAAGGAGGTGCGGGATTTGCTGGTGGTGCAATTGGAGCGCATCTCGTTGCACGAATTTCTGGCGGACGGTATGTGTGCAAAAGGAGCTATACTAAAGCGAACTATACAGCATATTTCCAATTGTTTTGCAGTTTCCAGCCACGCAGCACAGAAGGTCAAGCAAATGCAAGCTGCTTTAGACATTTGCTTCCAGTGCCAGCTCATTTTCGGGCACGTCATCGATAGCAACAGCAACGTCACCACGGATGATGACGAATTCATAGCACATTTAACGCTCTTTGAGAGTCGCTTGCAGAACGCATTGAAAACGCTCATCAAATTGCTGTTAACGACCGGCAAGGATCCAAAACAGCTGTCGGCATTGTATAAGCGCATGTATATGGAAACCTTGACTGGGAAACATGGCATAGGCGCACAGCAATCAGCAGCAGAGTCAATCTCGCGTTCACACCATTTGCACACGCTGCTCAACCGGCTGAAAGCCATGTGCGGCGCTCAGCTGGTCAGCGACTAGCCAAGTAAAGTGTTTTGTACGTGTCGTCTACCGAGTTTTATAAAAACAGTTCAAATTTTGTGTATACATCGACCTGCCTTGTTTATTGATGTGTGTACTCTCGTCTCAATAACGCTGTCAGCTTAGCTTAGCCCCGCCTTTGGCAGCGGCAATCGCTCTCAAATTGCTCGGCATCGGCAACGCTTGCGATGCGTTTCTGGTACATAACCAACGCCAACAGCATGGCCATTTGTAAGATCTGCAAAGGATCAGACTTTAATAACAATACACACACACACACAGCTATTGTTCAAACCACATCTTACCTTGAAGCAAAGACTACGCATTTTGGAAACTAGTTTTCTGTACTGGCCCAACGGGCGCGCGGCTCTTATAAAGTCGCATGGCCGCCAGCCAGACGTGTCGCTCATCAAGATTATAGAGCTGCAGCACTCTGCTGTATGCCAATCTTGGCCAGCTTCTGTTAAGTATTTTGTTGAACAAGCTATTGATGCTCGAGTAATCGGCTTATAAAATTCCTATTCTCATTCTCATTTGGGATTTGATGAAAACCCTGAGAGAAGTGATGAAGAGTATTGGTTGTTGGGAATCTTATTGAAATTAATTGCGCTTACCTCTAAGCCAAGATGTTATATATTGTTTAATAATAGCTTCTGCAAAGATTTGCCTAGTTTTAATAGTTTGCTTGCTTAAATGTTGACTAAAACTGAAATCTTTAAGTTCTCTGCACAGTCAATTATTTGTTCTTATGTTGAGTGCAAGATGGATTGCATGTGAAAAACTTAATACAAACTCGATTTATTAATTCGCTGGAAATAAATCATGTGCATTTAATTCCCCATTCTGTTGCTCTGTTCATCCAACTAATATGCCGCTGTGACTGAGTGTAGCGCATTCGAAAATAATTTCAAATTATTTGCAGCGTTTTATTATGATTTTATTTGAGTAAAGTGCTTGCCGTTGCATAGTTTTTAATTGTTTATTGTTTATAATTTTATTGTAATTTTATCGTAACTTTTTTTGCTTTTGTATATAAATTCTACCAACGCAGCAGAAAGCTCAAGTCAATGCCTTGGCTATATTTCTGCGCTTGCTGGAAATTGTGTCAAGCTCGGCCACAGTGGAGCAAACAGTGACAAATAGTGAAGCAAAAAAGAACAAAAAAAAAAAAACCAAAAAAAGAAAAAAAGCAAAGAAAATGCCGCCCACTCGCTGCACTGGGCACGCACGAGTCATCGCCAGCTTGCATAATGACGAACAGGGAGCACTCTCAGACGATGGCGTAAGCATACAGACGCCTGCGCTATCTGGACCCGCGCCGAATTAGTGCAGCAAGTTTTAGAGCCAAGTCGCTTGGCAAATGCACGTCGCCAGCGGCGACGTCTTCAGATTGCGGCTGGAACACAAAGAACTTGGCATGGCACAGACGAGAGACCGTCTGCTAGAGTCTAACTTGCATCATATTCGTCACGTAAACGAATTGGCATTGCCTGGATTTTTAGTATATAAGCAAAACTGGTCGCTGCACTCCAGACATTAGTTAGCTACCCCACAAACTAAGCCAATTAGCCACAAAATGATGAAGTTCATGGTAAGTGCCAGCGCATCCTGCTGCCATCTGTAGCCTCCAACTTATTTGCCACAATTGTGTTCTTCAGTGCATTTTCGTCTGCGCCATCGCCGCCGTTTCGGCCAATGCGTACGGTCGCCAGGGTTACGGCAGCGTGCCCGTCGGCGGCTATGCCTACCAGGTGCAGCCTGCTCTGACCGTCAAGGCTATCGTCCCAGCTGGTGGATATGGTGGTGGCAGCTATGGTGGCGGCTATGGCAACAACAACTACGGACGCAGCATTGAGGTGCCTGTCTCCGCCCACTACACCTCGAGCCGTGGATATGGCGCCGCGCCCGTCGATCGTCAGGCCATCTCCCTGGCCAAGCTTAGTCTGGCTGCACCCAATGCTGGTGCTCCTCTCGTCTGGAAGGAGCCACGTCAGATTGTTGAGCGCTCTTATGGCCCTCAGCAGAGCTATGGCCAGAAGCACAGCTACGGCTATGGCGAGCAGGCGCAGGGCGCTTCGGCAGCCGCTGCCTCCAGCTCCGTGGCTGGCCAGCACTCTGGCTACAAGAACTCTGGCTACAAGAACTCCAGCTACTAAACGAGCTGAGAAACGCTACAGTGAATACAAAGCTAACAAGCTTGGGACTTATATAGACGCATAAGACAGTAGAAAGTAATAAAAGCAACAAAACTATAAAAACATAAACAATTTTTTGTCATTTTCTCTTTGGGTTTTTTGGAGTCCTACGAAAAAGTTGACTTCTTTGCAGCTGTTTAATTGAGTTCAATTAATGGCAAAGCATAATTCAGTTGTACTTTGATATTATTGGTATATATATATATAATTTCTTTTATATTGGACTATTCCACAATATGCTTATATTCTACGGAAATTTATAGCTCACATGATTTGACTTTGATGAATGAATGAATGCATTTTAGCCTAAAAGTTTCATAGTGAAATTATGCCCGTAGAGTCTATTTTCTTCTGTATATTTATGCTAAAAACATATTCCATAAGCAATTATTTATGTTAAATCTTTCTTCTTTCTATATGTTTTCTTGTCCGCAAAGTTCATGAGTTTCTATTCGAGCCAGTCTCGAGCAGGCCATGTTTACAGCTGCAAGTCCAGTTCATGACTGGCTTTATTACATTTTAGCCCTAGGAACGTGCAATTTGTGTGTGTACAAAAAATAGTATAATATATTAATTTAAACCTGGGGCTACAAAAGACGCGCGCTCCGCTCGTGGATTCATTGAGAACTCACGAAGTGCTTAATTTGTTTTTCGCGCTGTGTGTCGAGCTTGTGTCGGAGTGGGTCGGGCTTTTTGCCCTGGCATTATCAAAACTGTGAAAACAATGGAAAACATCGCGTAACCGAACGATTTTATAATTGTTGGCCAGACACGACAACGAAATACGAGCCAAGTACATAATATGTGGCCAATAATTGTTGTCTTATGTGCTGGTTAGAATTATGAAATATCGCTGCCATAGAAATTATTATTATATGGTATATAGGTTACTTAAAGTGTTTATTTGGGCAGTGTCACGTAAATATCCAGTCTATATTTTGCATATAAAAGCGCTCGTTGCGGTCAGCTAAATCATAGTTTGATTGATTAACCTAACCAACAAAACTAACTGTTCAACATGAAGTTCCTGGTAAGCAATCCCTACAGCTGGACTTGGACATATGGATGGCTGACTAATCCTGTTTCCTAAAATCATAGATTGCCTTCGCTGTCCTCGCTCTGGTCGCCTGCATCAATGCCAATCCCTATGGCAGCAACCGTGGCTATGAAGGTGGCCGTGTGGCCTACGTTCAGGAGGTTGGTTATGGCGGCGGCTCCTACGGCAACCAGGGCTATGGCAACCATGGCTATGGCAACCGCGGCTATGCGCAGCCCCTGTACTCGCGCTCATCGAACCCCAGTGCCTCGGCTGCTGCGGCCGCTGCCTCGGCTGGCATCCGCCCAGGCAGGTACGAGCAGGCTGCAGTCATCGGCTACGATCTGGACGCTAGCTACAACGGCCACAGCCGCGGTGGCTATGGACGTGGTGGCTATTAATTCAGCCACATCCAATTGAGCCAATGACCTCATTGTTCAATGGATCAGCTCAAGCAGCAACTGTTGAGAAAATAAAACAAACCCGCTGAAAGCCGCGGAGCATGTTGAACAAAAAACCAAATTCTAAGAGTTGTCTTCTGTCGGGTGCGGGTAGCCATAAACTGTGACATACTTTTGAGCGTCGGGCTTAAATGGTTGCAGCTGGGATTAGCGGGTGGAAGCAACGACTAGGAACGATGCGTCTCAAGAACTCGTTCATCAATTTCAACAATTCCCAATTCTTTCATGGAAGGTTATATAGCCAAAGAGTTGTCACGGATTTTTGGACTAAAGCTGTATTGATGAGATTAAGAACCTCTTAAAAAAAGAGTTGGAAGGGTGATAAGGAGCATGATGAGGCTTATAAAAGCTTAGTTTGGTTAAGGTATTTCCATATACAGAAAACTTTTCCCTCTAGAGCTCTATGATATAGTAGTTCGATGCTGCTAAGACTTAGCTCAAATGTGATCAACATGCTTATCAAGTTTACATGAGTTATTTGAAAAAAGAAAACGATTTCTTATACAAATATTTAATTACTGACCGATTATAGCAATATGAATTAGGGGCTCAATATTGAGAAGTATTATCTTACATGTGGAAAGTATTGTCGAAGTTTGGTCAAGATTTTCTGAATAACAAACAAGTTTTTATACAAAAACTTAATTATCAAGCGATTACACAAAAAGACGAACCCAGGCAAAGTTTCATGTGGATAGCTTTGCTGATCAAGAATATATATACTTAATGGTCTCTTCTCTATATAGTACACATTTCATGACAAAACTACAATCATAAAAAAAAATGGTCTTCATAAAGTATTTGGGTATTTTTCACTAATCCACAAATTGTCAGCTGAAATGTTTTGGGCCCAAATAGAGCACAGTTAGCCTCAAGAGGCCGCTGTGCTTATCCAGCTGCATGCTCACACGAAGCAACAGCTCCATTTAACAAAACATGCACAATGTTTGGAGCACCTCAAGAGAGAGGGAGAGAGATCACAGCACAGCAACCCCCCAATGTATTGGGGTCGGCTGTGCGGCATTCGAATGTCGGCGATAGCAGAGTCTCGGGCGAACAAGCAGCAGCTCGAGGTGTGGAGTGCTGGTTGAGTGGGCTGCGATATCGAGCTGCAAGATTTGGACCACGAGAAAACAGCAACAGCAGCACAAGAAGAAGAAGAAGAATAACATCAACAACCGCCCACCGTTGCAGCGAGATGAAGACGTCGCCGAGCTGAACTGAGCCAAGCTGAGCTCTGAACTCAGCGCCGTGATAAATTCGCAGCGAGATCACGTTTCGAGTGCTTCAATTATTTTGCTTATATAAAGAAGTGTGCTTGGCATTTGGTTTGTTAATTGTGCCAACTGTTTCAAGCAGCGAGCGCCCAAAAACAACAACAAAAAATCCAATAAGCACAGCCATGAACAAGTTCGCCGTAAGTAACATAGCATGACGATGTCTGCCCATTTCCCGTTCCGTTGGTCGCCAGTTTTTTAAGCATCGATTTCCAATACACACAGACTCTTGCGGTATTCATCAGCGTCTGCCTCGCCGTCGGCAGCTGCAACTACGGAGGCCAGCACGCCGGCCATGGCTACGGTCACCACCGCAGCATCTCCAGCTATGGCCAGCGTGGAGATGGCAGCGCTGCTGCTGCATCGAGCGCCGCTGCTGCCGGTGGCAATGATCAGCGTCCCGTAGAGATTGTTGCCGGTCCCCGTTATGGCGGCAGCGAGCAACTGCGTCCGATCCTCCTTGACTCTGGCTACCAGGGTGGCCACAACGAATACGGCCGTGGACACGGAAACATTGGACACCTCGTCGGCGGCGGCAGCTATGGCGGACACATCGCCGGCGGCAACCATGGTGGCAACTATGGCGGCCACCAGCGCGGCTATGGCCGTCCCCGTTGGTCTGTCCAGCCCGCTGGCGCCACTCTGCTGTACCCCGGCCAGAACAGCTATCGCCGTTATGCTTCCCCACCAGAGTACACCAAGGTGGTGCTGCCCGTGCGCGCCGCTCCCCCAGTTGCCAAGCTGTACCTGCCCGAGAACAACTATGGCAGCCACGGTGGCTACCACAACGAGGGACCCAAGTACTAGAGTAGCAATACCCTCTTCTTGGCTAGTTCTCTCCAAATCAGCTCAAACGTGAAGCTCTCACAATAACATGGCAGAGTTCGTTGTGCAAACAGCGTGAATAAAAAATTGCAGAAAAAAACAAAACCCAAATGTTGTATTGATAATGTGTGTGTGTGTGTGTGTGTGTGTGTGGCCTTGGGTCCAGGGGGAGAGTTGGGTCAGATAAGTGGTTCCGGTAACTGGCAGTTGGTTTGGTTCACCAATGTTTGACCAGTTGCAGCAGCTGCAGCTGTTTTCGCATAAAGTTCAGTTTTGATTGCATATTAATTGGGAATGCCGAGCGTGCCCGTGCCTATGCATATTATAAATTTATGCCAATAAAATTCTTATTATATATTTTGTATATTTTCAATTTGAATACCATAATTTCTTATATAGCTTTCATACTTAATAATAATTTAAACAAAGCAGCTTCTATAAACAAAATTGCTTTAGAGTTAGAACCAAAGCATTTCGTGAAGCTGCTTTTTCACTTGCCAGAACTCAGTATTTTTTTTAAACCTAGACAACTCATATATTTCAAATAAAATATTTAATTTTTAGTTGACAATTGCCCGTTCCGCAACTGAAAATATTGTTAGCTGTGCATATTTTCATATGGAAAATGCGGGCTAAAGTTTAGCTCTACCCAGAATTGGCATATGCCGAACATGGCATAAATGCAATGTCTGGCGACAAAGTTATTTATACTTTGGTGCTGAATTACCCATAAATTCTTTTTGTTGTAAGCCAAGCCATATTTTGTTTATAAATGAAAACTGATTTCTGTTAAGCTGAACTTATAATAAAACTTTAATTGGAATTCCGGACCAACTCAGCCTTGGTTATAGTTTGTCAGCTGTCCACGAGCGTAAGACAACTTAAAAGATGCTCTCCCATAAAATTCAAATAGGTATTCCATATTGTAGTATCATGTCAGTCGATAGCCATACCAATTCATTCTAATGAACAGCAATGCTTTAATTATGACAACTTTTATTATATCGTGTTGCTTAACCCTAGGTAGCCCATTTTTTCTTGGCATTATAAGGATTTATAATGAATGAAAGCTTAAACTTAAACTGGCAATAAATATAGAACTCTAAAGTTATAATTTTATATTGGGCAATTAAGTAATAATATGCTCAATTATTATTGTTATATTATTATTAATATTATTATTATCATAATGATTATTATTATATATATTGTTATTATTATAACAAATATTATTTATAGCTTGGATTCAAAGTAGGAATCTATTTGTTATTTACTGTAGGCATCGGATCTTATAGATAATATTGCAAAATCCCAGCGATGACATTACCTATGAAAAACCTTACCAGTTCTTCACATATGAGTTTCTACTGTACTATTTATGATTACAAGAAGCTTAAAGCTTTCACGTTAAACGGCGCCTCACGTTTGCAAAAAAAACCAACTACTTATGTGGTTCCCACAAACACACACACACACACACGCGCACACACACGCACACACACAATACACTCACTCAATTTGGAGCTAAAGTAAATAGCTGCTGAGCTTGAACGCAGTTCGATTATCAGCCAAGCTAGTTGCATGCTGCACAGATAAGAGAGGTAGCTAGAGGTAGACAATGGCAAGGGCATGGCCGATCGATGGATCGAACTATCTACGACATTGGAGTCGCCGATGACACAGAGCTGGTGAATGCGAATTGCGAGTGCATTCGAATGCATCCGCAGTCGAGTTGATGCTGGGGTTCATTGAGCAGCGGCGATGCTGTTGTTGGACAGGTAGCCATGTCAAAGACCTGATACCGCACACGCCAAATGCGAGCCGAGCGTGCCGAGCAGGGGGCAGTCGATATCAATGGAGCAGCCACTGACTCTTTGCCTTGTCATTGTCGTGGTCGTGGTCGTGGTCGAGTTGTTGCCAATTTGACGAGCACTTTTTTTTTTTAAGAGTAAACTGACACCAAAACCGAACTCTGTAACCGAAGAAGATGACTGCGTCAGTGCGCTGTGGCGCCTTATCAGTGCCACACGGGGCAATGGGATTTTGGTGCGATGCGCCGGCTGCAAGCACCACCAGCTCAGCCCCAAAGTGTTTTCGTCATGACTCTGGGTTTGGTTGGGGGTCTTCGACTGGGTTTTGGTCACGTAAAGCGCACACACAAATCGCTTGCCAGCTCAAATATAATGGCTATAAAAGCAATTTGGCCACGCGCAATTGTTAATTAGTTTTCAAAAGTGTCACCTCCTCGCACCATCCAAACATGTCCGTCAACTACATGCGTCTGCTTTGCCTGATGGCCTGCTGCTTCTCCGTCTGCCTGGCCTACAGGCCCAGCGGCAACAGCTACCGCAGCGGCGGCTATGGCGAATATATCAAGCCCGTCGAAACCGCCGAGGCTCAAGCGGCTGCTCTCACCAATGCTGCCGGCGCTGCTGCCTCCTCCGCCAAATTGGATGGTGCCGATTGGTATGCACTGAACCGTTATGGCTGGGAACAGGGCAAGCCACTGCTGGTCAAGCCATACGGCCCGCTGGACAACCTCTATGCCGCTGCTTTGCCACCACGCGCCTTCGTCGCCGAGATCGATCCAGGTTAGTTACTCAACGCTACCCCCAACCACAGCCTGAGCTGCATGCTAAAGTTCGACATTTTCTTGAATTTTCCACTTGCAGTCTTCAAGAGGAACAGCTATGGCGGTGCATATGGCGAGAGGACTGTCACCCTGAACACCGGCTCCAAGCTGGCTGTCTCTGCTGCCTAAGTAATCGGTCACCTTGGTGTCCAGCTGCCTGAAAGTCTTAATAAATAGTGATTAGTTTAAAGTAAATTGATATATGTGTGCTTTTTCCAATGGGAGCCGGGAGAGTGATAGAAATCCTCAACATATTGGGCTTATTATTATTAAATATTATAATAATATTGGGGGTTTAGTTACAAACTGTCAAGCTTACTTTTTTAAAGTAGCTAAGACAAGACTAGACATGCATTTATTAAACCTCTTCGAACATGAATCTTCGTTGTTCAAAGATCAATTCACTTGCTTAAAATAGAATTCTTCTGAGTTCTGCATGATGAAGGATTTTTGTACAAATCAGACATTCGTCAATTCATGTTTTGTTCAACAGGTTTACTTAAAGCAATTCACTTGCTTAAAGTTGAATTCTTCCAAGTTCTTGAAAGATAATATACTACATCCATACTTTCATCAGAGATTTGAACCTGCATCTGCCCGGTCCAGCTCCCTCAATGACTGTATCATCGAGACAATTAAGCTGCTAATATGTGATTTGATAGTATTATCAATTTTAATTTAAGATGTAGTTACAAACTTTCAAGCTAGCTTTTCTTAGCCACGACAATGATACAGTCATTACAAATGATGGGCAATTCCTTTGAGACGTTTCTTTCTACACATATGAACAATATCTTGTGTTTCTCAATTCAGTTAATTTTTCGTCTATCTCTCTCAATTTTCATTTTGTGATATTTCCCAATTAGTACACAACTCGTTTTGAGTTTGTTATTGTTGTTATTGTTGTTATTATATAAGTAAATTCAGTTTTTATTGCAAAATACAAAGTAAAAATATGAAAATTGCTCAGTTTTTCTTAATCGTTTTTCTTTTAATCATTTGTAAAATCAATTCGTTACGAGCACACAGATATTTACCTACTAAACATAAAATGAACTAAAAACAAGTAGCAGAAGCGGTTGTAACTCGGGTAACTCGTTTTGTTGGGTCGATTGGTTGATCTTTGCATATTTTGCATATATTTCATTTATTTTTCATTTAAATTTTAATCAGCCAACTCTATAAGCAAACTCTCGTCCTCTCTCTCTCTCTCTTTCGCTCTCGCTCTCTCTCTCTCTCGCTAACGCTGCAAAACTTCTGTAGTTTTCCTTTTACTTTTTTTTGGTAATTTTATTTGTTGTTTGTTTTTTTTCTTTTCTTCTTTATATATGATTTTAGGTTCATTATTTTAATTAAATTACATGAACTTCAAAATATTATTATTATAAATAGATAGGAGATGTGTAGTGTTATGTATTTATAATGTATAACCTATACGAACTCTCGCAAGCTCTGAAAAAAATTTAAATTATAAAAGTTTTCTCAAGCAAATATCTTCAAATCTCAAAATTGACTGCATTTTCTGCATTTCTTTCTGAAAGCTGTTGTTCCTGTTGTTGTCGGTTATTTGTTGCTTTGCTTTTTTTTTTTTTTTTTAATTATAAAATGTTGCTGCTGTTTGGTTGTGTGTGTTTAATGTGTGTGTGTGTGTTGTGTGTATTTGTGTTTTGTGTGTGTGTTTGTGTTTGTGTTGGCGTCTCCAGTGATCATCTATTCGGTGATCGTTCTTGTTGTCTCCTGAATGTACACCTGAGAGCCGGGCACGGTGGAGGTGGTGACGAATGTGCGGTGCTTGGCGCGGATCAGATTCAAGTTCGATTCGGCAACATCGGCGCGATCCTCGGCGGCCTCCAGCTCACGCTGGAAACGGCGCACACGGGTGGTGCTCTGCTGTGAGAAGCCCTCCTGTTCGGACAGCTGGCGTCTGTAGATGTTGATCTTGGCAGTGGTCTTGTCCAGCGCATCCTGCAGCAATATGATGTTCTTCTGATCCTCCTCGCACTGTACCATCACCTCCTTAACGGTGCGCTCCTTCTTGCGCAAGATCTTGATGGTCTCGGCATGACGGCGTTTCTCCTCCTCCAGCTCCAGCTCCAGATCGCGAATGCGTGCCTCCAGCTTGCTGATGATGCGCTTGCTACCGGCAACGGCGTTCAACTCCACTTCCTCCAGGCGAATGGACAAGTTCTGTGCATGGAAATGTGCATGGTATCAACATATTATCTACTTTTGCATTGATCTCGCAGTGAGTTGTCGCTTACCTTGACTTCGACTTCCAAAGACTTCTTGATGGTCTCCAGCTTGATGCTGCGTTCGTGCTCCTCCTGCACCTGCTCGATGACATGCTTCAGCTCGACCTGAACCTTCTGGTAGCGCTCGTCGCTGATGCGCAGCTCCTTGGATACCTCCTCGTAGTCGGAAGAGATAACGCTCAGTTCCTGCTCCAGCTTGGACTTCAGCGACACCAAGTTAACATTGACAGTGTTCAGCTCGTTGATGCGTGTGCTGGCCTCCTCGTACTGCAGCTCGACGGTGCGCTTGGCACGATTGGCGCTATCCAAATGGGAGCGGACCTCCTCCAGCTCACCATTGAGACCGGCCAGACGGCGCTGGGCAATGCCGTACTGATCGAGGGTGGCCTGCAGCTGGCGCTGCACATCCTCATAGTGGGCCTGCAGTTCGGTTAGCTGCAGCGACTGCTTCTTGATAACCTTCTGCAGATCGATGTTGGTCTTGTTGGCCACATCCAGCGACATCTCCAGCTCGGTGATCTGAATTTGCAGCTTCTTCTTGATGCGGGTCACCTCGGTCTTCAACCGGGTCTCCGCCTCAATGACGCGCGCATTCAGCTGTTCGATCTCAATGCTCGTCTGCTTGCTAAAGGAAATCACAGAATATATACCCAATTGGTCAGAAACAGTTCGAACAGAGTATTATATAGTTCATTTAGTGGCTCGGCTGGAAGTTGCCCTCAAATGTTGTCAGCTCACCTCGAAGTCGCTTTCATTCGCTTGCATTCTGCGCTATTTTCGGCCCAATGTCTGACCCACAAAAATCATTTTCTTAACACTCAGCATTCAGCTCGATTCTGTTGCTGCCGCTGTCGCTGCGGTTGCTGTTGGCTGTTGTCTGTTTGCTGATTTTTGTGGCATTGTCAAAAATCGCATTGTTCGGCGCATTTTTTTTTTTTTTTATTTATACGCTTGATAAAGACATCGAACTTGTCACAAATAGCGCATTTACATGCCAAGCATTGCACTACCTTAGCTACCCACGGGCCCAAATACAAACTGCGTCTGTGACAGATCGCATCATGCGTCTAATTTTAGGCGTAGGTGAATTCTCTACGCGGTTCTTCTCATATACTATGTATATTGTACATATATATTTAAAGCGGCTTGCTAATACTCTTACTCTTGCCAATGTTGTCGAGTGCTGCCAAAAATTTGTTTTTCAACTAATTGTAATCAACAGTTGATTCATTTGACAAGTTGAGTGCAAGTTCTCAGCTGGGGCTAAGTCAAAGTGCGGCACTTAACATCAAACCCTTACTCATAGATCTATTTTTATTAAAATATGTATATAACCTTTAACGGAGTACGCTCACAGTCTGATCTTGAGAAAGCTCTAAATGTGTTATTATACCTATTGTCTACAATCTAAAGTAAGCTAGAGATCTCACATCATTTATTCTAATTTAATCTTAGTCTTTGCAATCTAGAAATCTCACTCCAAAAATAAGTCTTGCTCGTAGTTGCGTATATAACTACGATCTTAAGAGCAAGATCTCCAGTTCTGACCTCTTACTCTATCTACATACAGAACATAATCTTTTCAAATAAATCTTCATATGAGGTCTCCCCTCAGTTAGTGCGTACTCAAGCTAGTATTTGGGTATATGAATACGTTCTGAAGTAAGTTATAAATATTTCCCATTATTGAATCGTTTTCAGGTCAGTCGATCATCTCTTATTTAATGTCTGAAGTAGATTCTCCTGTTGCTCTCATCTTATGTAAGCAATAGCTTTCATCTAGCTTGATCTTTAGCTTATGAATACGATATTAGGTAAGGTAGTATATTATATTGTTACTTCTATCTCAATATCAATCGAATATGGTTGCTTTTAATCTGTTACGGGGCTTTTACTCTAAATGTAACTCTAGTTCTTTTTGTCTACATATCTAAGATTTTAAGCAGTCTTTCCCTTTATTATCAAAACTCTTATTACATATATGTCTCTGAAATGTTCTTATAAATTAAATCCGCGAATTATCCAAAACTCTAGAATAACTTTCCAATACATTTAACCAAACCTATTTAAACTTTCAACCTTATAATAAGCGTAAACAATCTTAAATCTAAATCAAGTTATCGCATGCGTTACCGTACCATACGCATTATTAGTTTGCACATGTTGTTTGCCTTTCTGATTTTTTGTCATCTTCTTTTCTTTCAGTGTACTACGTAGCCCATTTCTTAGTTACTTAATCTATGTGCGCTCTTTGTTGTCGCGTTGCCAAGGTATTTTGCTTGTGTTTTGCTTTGCGAACGTAAGTATTTTTTCATTTAATTTTAATTTTTTGCCTCGTTTTCAATGTTTATTGTCTACGCAAAAATATGTGATGAATTTTTTCTTAATTCTCTTGCTTTTCGCTGTCATGCACATCAATTTTAGTGCGAGAAATATAAAATAAGATATTATTTGTTGAAGGACACGTCAAACAATAGGCAAAGCCCCCAAACCCAAAATACCTGCCCGAAAGATATTTTTATGTGCGGGTGCGAAATAAGATCCATTAGACATAAATTTACCTAATAGTGCTTGCATTGATTGCAATTTCAAAGGTGCAAAAATCGTGTCTAATGCATATTGCAAGTATATTTATATTCGAATTTAAAATGTTGGCTGGGTGAGATTTGAAAACAAATTGTAATTAAATATTCTGTCTAGTTTCTAAAAACTCAGCAGCAAGAGGGAAGCATCAATTTATGGAATTAGTCTTTCAATTATTTAATTATAAATATTAACATTAATTTATTATTATCATAATCTTCTAGAAATTCCCATTCCTGCCAAGATTTACTCAATCTATTGCTATATATAAATTTGAATTCAAGTCTAGGAAAACCCTCTACTTTAATTGCAAACAATTTGTAGAATACCCCGAAATTTCACAAAAATTATATTAAATAA